CAAAGAACGTTTTAATTTAGAATTTTGTGCACGCGAAATGACCAAAACATATTATTGTATTATACTATTACGTAAACGAATATTTGATCAATGAGACTTTTTTTTTTAATAGGAGGAATTTGCAGCAGAACATATTGTAGGAGTTGATTTAAATACGGGAAACACACTTGACCCTATCGTGGAGGGTATTTGGGATAATTATCGTGTCGTTCGTCATATGTTGCATTCCTGGTAAGATTATGCTGAATGTGCTGAATGTTTATGATTGTTTTAAAGTTTTTTTTTTTTTTTTAATAATAATTTAAATATTTTTAGTTCCGTGATCGCAAGCAACTTTTTATTAGTTGATGAAATGATGAGAGCAGGAAGGTCAAGTTTGAAGAGTGATAACATTGGAAATTAATAATTCTGTAGTGAGTCTTTTTAAAAAAATATAGATTTATCTTTGGGTAATTTATTCATTCAACCATAAAGAATTTTAAATATAAAAAAAAAAAGAATAGTTTATTGATAAATTATCAAGTCGCTTTAATACTAAAAGTCCTTTTTTTTTTTAAAAAAAGAAAAATAATAAATAAGAGTTATGCCGATGAAAATATTTCATTACATTGTGTCAACTATTTACATGATTATTTAAAAATACAATAATTTTTTCTAGTGTCCTTGTCTAATTACTATATTACTTATAACGTCATATATACCGTGTATATTTTGTCTTTATACAGGATAGGAAAAAAAATTTTTTTCAAAACATACAAAAAAAAGTTGGGTTGTGGAAGAAATGAAAAAATGCGATTATTAACATTCTTAAAGAGAAAATTGGAATAAATTAATAACAAAAAAAAAAATAATGTTCAAAAATAAGATCATTAATTAATTATGATCTACGTTTGAAGGGAGAACTAAAACGTTTTTGTGATAAAGATAATGATGAAGCGGCATCCCATGTCGAACGACGATATCGTGGCCTTGATTGTAAAATGCTTTTTGCGAATTCGAGTCTGTCCGAATCAGATTGGTGAATATTTGGTAAACTAGATCTCTTTTGGCCCGTCTAACGATAATAAAATTAGAGGAAATTTTAATGAGTGGGGAGAATATAAAAAAAAAAATAATAAAATCATGTAATCATAAATTTATGATGAGTAATTACCTTGTATTTTTCATATTGAAATATTGCATGAATACGTGACCGAGTTTGATCAAAAGTTTCACGATTTACTTTTTCCAAAAAAGATTTCGAAGTTGTAAGGGTTGAAGTAACATTTTTAGATGAATCGCTTGTAGATGAGGGATTAACAACGTTATTTGATAATTTAGTGTTATTATTATTAAAAGAAACTGAAGAATGGGTACAGCGATTGGAAGTTGAAGGAAATTTGTGAGGTTTTTTATTTATCGAATTCGAATTAAAATCGGATTTTTTTTCATTAGATGGGGGAATATCCTTTGGAAGCATTCCACACGCTTTCATTTCTCGAGTAGTTATCTCAGCCAAGGCTTTACGTAGATATTTTTGAAAGAAATTGCCAGCACTCGCGAGAAATGCGTCAACTTTGACATCACATTCGGGATGTTCCAACAAGAGTTCATGAAGTTCTTGAATACCCTAAAGATTCGACAGGAAGGTGAAATGAGAAAAATTTTGATTAATGTTAGAAAGAGATGACCGGAAAAAAGAAGGATAAAGAAAAAAAAAAGGAGTCGTTTGAACGTACTTCTTGTGCATTTTCCAGTTGGCCAATTTTGGTAAAAATTAAAGTGAGTTTAATATTAAGGTCTCGTTCACTTAAAGAAGTCGTCTTGAAAGAAACCATGGTGTATATTTTGTGTTTTTGAGTGTTAATTTTTCTTTATGTTAAGAGTAGAGAAAGAAAAATAAAATTTGATAAAAAAAAAAAAAGAAAAATTTTGATAACAAAGCCGAGAGGAAACAAAGAGATTAAATAACAGAAAATTTTTGAGTACAAAAAATTATTTGATGGAATTTGGAGATAATTTGTTGGTGCGAATTTAAGGTATGTAGCTGACATCGCTGTTACCTTTATATAAATAAAATTTAGACAAGCAGGAGTTAGGTGTATATTATTGTGTTCTTAAAATCGTAAAATAAAAAAAAAAAATTCAATTGTTAAATTGTATAAGTAAAAAAAAAAGTATATTATGCAATATGCAGTTTCACTTTAGATTTTCTTAGTTAGTCGCTTTTAACTCTTAAAATAAGTTAGTTGTTGAGATCTCCCCTCCATGCCCGCCACTTTTTTTAAATTCATAATATAATATAAGATCATCAATTAATTATGTAATGACATCATAATTTAAACCGCCCGTATATTATTTATTTATTCTGTGGCAAATTTCGCTTTTTACAATTGTTGATCCGCCTCCTTTCAAATTTTGTACTTTCATTTTAGGATCATTGTTCAAAATCGCTAAGCATAAAAAGTAAGTGGCAAATACGAGTCACATGACGCACATACAATCAGGTCATCGATGTTCATTCTTGCAAGTATAATAGCTCTCCAAGGTTCAATTATAAAAAGTCCCCCATTTATTTATTTATTTATTTATTTTTATTCTTTCATTCTAAATAGATGAAAAAGAAGAAAAGCGTTTGTTTTGAAATTAAATTGTTTCGTGGGGGATGTTAAAGCACTTCCTGAACTTCTTTTGATCTTTATCATCCCCATTTCCCCATTTCTTTTAAATTATAAGGTTCAGTTGGGTGATTAAACTGATAAATCGATAATTCTCTTAAGCTTTTAGTCATTACCTACATTTGCATTAAACAAGTTTCAATACTTGAAATATTTTTTTAGAACTTTATAGAAATATAATGTGCATATATGTAAGAAGTTTGTCTTTTTTTTTTTTTTTTTTTTTATTTTTCTCTTTTCATTTACAATGCATCATATTGTACAATTAAATTTTCCTAAAAAATACAAAAAAAAATTTTACCCAAAAATCTGTGAGTACGCCGTACGCACCGCAGTAGTGCGGAATTGCGATAATAATGTACTGCGGCAGTCATCGAGGAGAAAATCAAACAACAATCGGTCATACAAACATTTCAAATTTTTTTTTTTTTTTTTTTACAAGATGATCTTGTTGAAAGTCATGAATTGTCAATGCGAACAGAAACACACATTGTTTGATATGGGTTTAATATTGTTGTGTCTAATTAAATGTAATAAAAGTGTTTTGTGTTTGAAACTTGTTCTGAATTGAAACAGAAACTTGTTTTCTTTGGAGTATAAGACTGACGTACGCGCAAGAAATAAACCCGCAAAAAAAAAGAATAAGCATAAATCGGTTTCATTGTAACGGAACAACTTGAAGGAAAAAAAAAAGATGTCATTTAAAAAAAATTTTTAAGTTTTTTCTTTTTTAGATTTAATTTTTTTGTCCGCATGTTCAAAAAAATAACTTTAACCAATTAGAGCATAAGGATTTGCCCGCCAGATTTCACAAAGTTCAGTTCAGCTGAACTTTTGAAGTTTCACGCGAACCACACGACCTGTAATCATTATTTACAAGTGGGCTAATTAATTTTTTTATAAAGTTTGAATAAACTCGTTTTGGGCGGTAAAAAAAATAATATATATATATTTTTTTTGATTGAGAAGCCATCTCTGGTAAAGACGAGTTTTTTTTTTTTTTTTTCTCTCTCGAAAAGTAAGAGGGATTTACCGAAAGCATCAAAAGTGCCCTGATCTCGTTGATTCTATTTTTGTTCATAACCTGTTAAAAAAAGAAACTAACCAGATCTGTCATAAAATTTCAACGAAAAATTGATGATGTATCATATGTTTCGGTTTTTTTTTTTTGGACTTAATTCTGTGTATATAGAAAGTCTTTATAACGAATGCATCGAAAACCGGAAAATGAACTTTATTACCAATTTTCTATATATAACTTGACGATCCTGTTTCAATCAGTGAATCAGTGAGATGACATTATGTTATCTTCAATTTGTACGACACTTTTTTATTTATTTGAAACTAATCTTCCTCACAAATTTAGCTTTATTATATGTAAAACAAGTGAACCTTAATTTAAGTACAAGGTAAAAAAAAAAAAAAATTTCAAATAATCATTCTTCGTTGAAATCATTTTTTTTTTTAATTGAAATCTTGTGATAACAACTTTATGTTATGAGTAATCAGAATGATTTGGAAAATAAAGATTCTTGTCTTCCTAAAAAAGATAAATCATTCTCTGATCATTGTTCAATCGTGGTTTTATTACCCTTTTATTATTGTTGTTGTAAAAAAGACTTTCTTCAAAATTAAATGAGCCACAAATGGTATGATCAGTTTAGACAGTTTATAATATAAACATTATAACCTGTTGAAAATGAAACGAACCCAAATGGAGAATGCGCCACATGGCGACAAGAAAATCACTGTTTCTCGATTTATTCAAAAGATGTGTGGAGTATTATCAACATCTACACATGTGATTTCATATTCATAATCCTTTTTGCTCGAACGGGCAACCCCCTAGAAATTTCTGTTATCCCTGCCCTGCATTTTTTTTAAAATTAAAAATTAAAAATAAAATAAAAAATTTTTTAATTAAATAATTTTTAATTTGTCTAAAAACAGAAAGCATTTGATCATGTTCCCAATGTCTCTGTTTCCCTTGATTTAAAAAGTGTCCAATTTTGTGATTAATTATCTGTAGGACATTCTTTCCAATGGTCCAATCACCTTTCCCGATCGTCCGATCATCACGAAAAATAATTTCAACGATTGATAGAATGATTTGAAGAAAAGATATTATTGGAACAACAATAGTAACAAAAAAGTTGCACAACTTGGTGATTCTCTTGGATTCCTCGAAATTTTGTATTCGAATATACATTTTACATGATGATTGAAAATTTTTGGTCGTATCATCGTATTTTTTTTTTTTAAAAAAAAAAGGTGATTATGATAAAAAATGTTGTGCGATAATACTACTACATTGCTTAATTTTAAAACTATACAGATCGTATGCTCGTATTGTTTGTTAATTGTAATTAATTCTCTTCATAGGTTCATGTTGAGTCGATGAAACAAACAACGCAAGCTCTAATTTCCTCAACAGAAAGACCCTTGGCTGATCCAATTACAGATGCGGTTAAAGTCTCAATGTTAATCGGTTCGAAAGTTGGAAGAATTTGTACTTCAAATTCTTATAATTCCTTCCCCCCACATAATTTTGCTAATTTAATAGTGCATTTTTATTTATTTTTAATGAAAATTTGAAAAAATTTATTAGGATCGTACTTTAACAAAAAAAAAAATTTTCCCATCATTGGTAAAATCCTGTCGTGACAAAAAAATATTAATAATTTTGATGTATTTGATTTTGTTTAATGTCGCACTTTTGAAAGTGAGAGTCACGTTAAACAAGCGAGGAAAATTATTTTTGCGTTCACGAATTTACCGCGTAAGTTCCAGAATATCATATAATAAATTTTTAACTGACTAATCAAATGTGCTCAAAGTGAATATTTCCGAATATCCTTTCGATTCTTGCAAAGAGATCCAACAAAGTGATTGGAACAACAATTGAATCGAATGTCAATGGCCATTCTTTTCAGAAGAAATTTATCATTATTTTTAATTTATTATTATTATTATTATTATTAGCAACAATTCATGGAATTGCTATGATTCATTTTTAATTTTACTTTATCGTAAGTCACCAATAATAAATAACATTATAAATTATTTGGTTCAAATTTTTAAAAAAGATTTTTTTAATTAAAATTTTAAGAAATTGTCAGGCAAGTAACGTTTCACGTTTCATATTTATTTCATACTTTTTTTTTTGTTGTTGTTGTTGACACATTCAAAATCTTATTGGGACTTCAAACAGCCCTTAATACAAGAAAATGATTCAATATCGGAAATTTCCGTTAATAAACAACTATTGAATTTGGAGAGTTTGCGAGGGAACTAGGAGTTTGAAAGATTTTGTGGCTCATTTAATAATTTCAATTACGGTACTCGATTTCAAATTTACCGTCAATTAGACATTGATATCATCAAATATGTACCATATAAACATAAAAACGTTCATGAACAAACGTTCATTATACTAGGTATGCTCTTTTTTAAAAGCCAAGTAACAAATATATGTGTGTGTGTGTGTGTGTGTGTAAATTTATCAATTATTATGTGGTATTTTCAAGGTTGAGAACGCACAGCATTAATGATAAAAAAAAAAAAATTACGCGAGGATAAATTTGATGTAAAATTTTGGGGGTGGAAAGTGATCATATTAGTTGTTGCGCCTGACGAATGTACACTACCCTGAAGAAACAGTTTTTTTTTGTGAATTGTGGCTTAAGTTTATTATGATATAAAATAAATATTTATATAATTATATGGTGCAAGTTTCGGTGCATTAATTGGGATCATTTGTTTATAAATAAATAAAACTGATTTCAATTAAAAATTAATATCAAAATGCAGTAAATTTCACATTTTCTAAATTATTTTGACATGCAACAAGCTTGGAGAAAGTTCTCAGTAGATGAGAATGCACAGCTTGAAAGTGCGTTTTAGACGAATAGAAAGAAGATCAAGCATTTGGAAATGACTATTTTGACTACATTTATGGTATCGTGACTACAGGCACGGAGTGGCACTTTATCATATATACTCCAGATGGTATTTACTGTACAAGTCGCATTTATAGATTCTAATTCTAATCAAAGATTGTATTTGATTGTTTGATAAAAATAAATTTCTTAATGCATTTATAAAAAGTTTGAAGAATAATGTTTTAGATAGGATAGAAAAATTATTAATCAAAATTGTTA